CTGAGAGACAGAATGATTGGCTAATAGTAAACAAGCTGGCTTCATGCTTAAGGCAGGATTCCTGGATTCTAGCCTGATGCCTTAACCAGTATACCAAAATGGCTCTATTAAAATATAACAACAAAAAATTGCCAAGACTATTGGGCTGCTAAATGACAGAACATAAAAAATATGCTAGGTAGTGCCTACACAGTTAATATTTGCTTTCATCTTTGTTGGGGAGGATATATGATCTAGGCTTATGCCTGAAATAGATTTTTCAGGAAGAGAATCAAAGTAACTGAAAAACATTAGTCATATAATATGAAGTTATATGCCTACTTCCAAATTAAAAATAAGGAAATCCTGAGATTGGCATTTCGGGATCGGATATTTGCCTGAGAGCTCTTAAATAATTCTTTTTCAAAACTAGCATTTGTTCACAAAATCTGTAAAGTGTACGATTTAAAAAAAGAAAAAAAAGAAGCTAGAAAACATACAAAACTATACACTCGTTAGCTTAATGCCCTTTCTGCATAAAATGCTACATTCAAATATACAGAACAATGGGATTTACTAAGAAGGACTAAAGGACATTTTGTGTCACCTAAAGTTCATGACTTTTCTAAATATGTCAGCATTGAATCCTTGAGATACTTGATGGCAAATATGCCAGTTTTGAATACTGGGAGTGGCTCTTTTTAATTTGCTTATAAGAGATTCAAAGTTAGGATCCAAAATAAGATGCCAAGTTCAGTAATGTTATTAAAAAGGGACTGTTGAAGAGCTCCAAAAAGATCCATTCACATTGGTTGAAAGGACCAAAAAAGGGAAAAAACAAATGTAGCTCATTGTAAGCAAGTATTTAGTTGACAGAGATTTATCCCCCCAAATCCAAACTTCACTGATATATCAATAGAATGAGAGATGAAAAAAAAGGATCAGGAAAGGGATCTTGGGATCATCACAAATCAATGAAAAGTTGAACCTCCTAGTATGTGGTTGCTGTAAAAGTAAGGCAGATTCTATATTTGGACCATTGGAAGAGGAACTGTAGATAAAACAAGACTGCCTTATATAAATCAAGAGTGAGACCACGCACGGCATACTATCTATAGTTCTGGTACCAAATTGAAAAAAGAAAAGAGAGAATAATTTAAACAGTGTAAAAAAGCACAACCACCCCTCAAGATTAAGTGGTAAAAGCAGTTGTCCCCTCAGAAAATCATGATTTGAGGTATATATTATAAAGTATGGTATGAGCAGTGTGGTGACCTAGAAGTTAAGATGCTCACTTCCCATTTGGAAGGTTGAGAGTCCAATCCTAGGTAGCAGCAGATGTTTCTCTCTTAGGGCATAAAGAAAGAATATCTGCTGCAAACTTCACATAGGCATCAGAAAGGGCATCCAGCTAGTAAATGCTCAGCTGCATCCAGTTGCCCTGTCTCTAACCTGAATTAAGGGACTACAGGGTTGTAAATACAAATATTATATACCATATTTTTGGAGTATAAGATGCACCTTTTTCCCATCTAAAAGAGGGTGAAAATTTGGATGGTCTTATACACCAAATGTAGCCCCACCCACCCACTGGCCCCTATCCTTTGGCCTCTGCCTCCCAGCAATTTACCTCTTTGCAGCAAACGGGGGCTTGAGGAGGCTTCAATAAGCTATAGCAATCCCTGCAGCCTCTAAACAGCTGATGATCTGGAGCAATTGGAAGTGTGTTTGCTCCACATGGCAAATTGATGAGAGGCAGATTTGTTTTCTTGTGCTAATTAGGCTGTTTGCTGCAAGGAGGTAAGTCAACAACTATAAATCCCTATTGTCATTTTCTTCTCCCCTTCGATCCTCTCCTGCCCCCTGGCTGCCAACGTGCGGCCCAAAGGGACAGTCCTTCTCCCTCGGGTGGTCGGGGAGGGTTCTGTGGGGCGTCCATCCTCCCCTCTGCGGACCTGGAGCCATAGCCCTATCCCTGGAGCTGCGGGGGTGCCATGCTCCTGTTGCAACTGCGGGTGAGGCCGTTTCCCCATTGTAGTGATCACTGGAAGAGAGCGGCATCGGCACCACGAGGGTGCACAAGCCGCCGGCGGAGCTGCCGCTTTGATTTGAGTGGCTGCCGCGCGCTTCGCCTGAGACCATCAGCGCGATTGGGTGACTGGGGGGGGGGGATGCATGCCTGTGAGCAAGTGTTGCAAGGCCTGTTTGCCCCGAGATCTGGCAGAGCTTCTGAGCGCAATTGCGGCCTCCTTTCTGCACCAGCAATTTTTGAGGTCCAGTGGCTATTTTAACTATCACCACATGCGTGAGGCCTCTCTATCTACAGAGCCGATCAGGAGGCCCAGGCCAGGGGTGTTCGGCCTAGTTCCTCCTTCGTCCTTCGAAGGCCCAGGTTCCGGTGGGGCCTACAGAGGCTTAGTACTTTCCACCTCCACGCTTCAGGACACGTGAGTAGGGCAATGGAGGAGGGCTCGGAAATTCCCCAGGGCCAGGTTGAGGGCCCGATGGGGATGGAAGGAGGCTGGGAGCAGGAGATCATTTCTAGAGTTCCCCCGGCCAGGCCCTTGGCAGCTCACCGACCCTCTAGGGCTTCTACGAGGGAGGAGGCCAGAAGACACAAGGCCCTAGAAAAGACCTTTGCCAGGACCGAGAGGCAAGCCAAGTGTTCCGGACCTGCCTCTGCCAGCAGATCCAGGTCACCACTCGGGCCTCCCTCTGATAATTCCTTGCCTAGGGGGTTCAGTCCTTCTTCTCGCTTGGTGTCACCAGCCAGATCCCGCAGCTATTCTAGGCACAGGGGATCTCCTTCTCCCTCTCCTTTGGTTTCCCCTGGGCTGGCGAGGGATAGTTTTGAGGACCCCCTGGAAGGGACCTCTAGGGGTCATCAACCTGCCCATAGGTTGGCCCCTCAAGGCCCTAGTTCATCCCATAGGGATGTGGAGGATCTGGATCACCTCCCTGAGGGGATCAAAAGGCTTATTTTTGCAGCTATTTCTCAGGGCATAGCCCAGCGGGATAGAAGTTCCCACTCATCTAGGCCTCAAGGGGGACCAGGCCGTCACCAGTATAGGGCTCCCTCTCCCTCTATGGTTAGCGAGGGCTCTGTTTTGGGGGAGGAGAACCTCCAGGATATAGGATTCGCAGAGGACGAGGACGTGGCCCCTCCTGATCCCCCTTCTTCTTCGGGTCTTTTTCCTCCGGTGATGTTCAAGACCCTCCTATACAAGGCGAGGAAGACCACCAAGATTGGGACAGGGGATCCCATGGTGCCTCCGCTTAGGGATCTGGGCATGGCCATGTTTTTGAACACGGCCACGAACAAAGAGGAGATTCCAGCCCGCCTTCGTTCATGGAGGTCCTTACCAACCAGTGGGCTCGACCTTCCAATTTCTCTAATCCTGGGAGTAATGACCGTCGCTTCTATAACGTGGAGCAGGCCTTTGCCCAGGCCATTCAATTACCCCCTATTGACACCCCAGTGGCTACTCTGGTCTCTTCTTCCCCGGTGGTGTCTGGTGATGCGGCGGATAAGTTGAAATCTGAGGATAAGTGGGCGGAGCTTACCTTATGGAAGAATTTCAATGCCACTGCTTGGGCCATAAAGTCCACGTCTGCGGCTTCATATTTTAATCGCACTATGGTCATGTGGCTCCGTCAGCTCCAGGATCGTATCCCAATCCAGGACGACCGAATCCATCAGGACCTAACTAAAATTATTGCGGCCTCGCAATTTTCCGCAGATGCAACCTTGGACACAATTAAGTTTGCGTCCAGCGCCTTAGCCACCTCTGTCACGTCCCGCTGCCTTCTGTGGCTTCGTAATTGGCAGATGGATAACAAGGCCAAGTGGAATCTGGAGACTGCTCTTTTCAAGGGCCCCAATCACTTTGGGGAGGCTCTCGACCCCATTCTGGTCGAGAATAAAGACAAGAAAAAGGTCCTTCCGTCCAACGCTAAAAAGCCCGAGGCTCGGTCTCATCCTTATTGTAGACAGTCTTATAGGGCTCCTGACTTTGACCATCATCAGCGTTTCTCCTCTTTCAGGTCCGACAGACAGTTTTCTCGATCGTCCTATCAAGACCCGAATAGATTCCAGCATCAGTCCCGGTGGCCCTTTCAAGGTGGCGGCGGTCGCCCCTACCGCAGGAGGAAGTGACTCGAACCTGAGTCGTCCCATAGGCAGCTGCCTGTCCCTCTATGCAGATCAAGGGGACAAAAATCACGTCAGACGCTTGGGTCAGGTCCACAGTTTGTCAGGGTCTCAGGTTAGAGTTTATCTCCACCCCACCCCCCGAATCTCTTCAGGTTGTTCCCTCTGTCTCAGAGCCTGGAGTGCCTCTGCCTGATGGATCAGGCTATAGAACACCTTCTCGACATTCAGGCGGTGGAGGTAGTGCCCCATGTGGAACAGGGGCTGGGCCACTACTCCAACCTGTTTGTGGTCCCAAAGAGTTTGGGGGGCTGGAGGGCAATTTTGGACCTCAAGCGCCTGAACCGCTTCTTGGTTTACAGGCATTTCAGGATGTCCTCCCTTAAATCTATCCTTCAGGGCATCCAGAGGGGGGACTTCTTAGCATCGGTAGACCTGACAGAGGCCTACCTTCATATTCCAATTCTCCCAGCTCTTTGCAGGTTTCTGAGGTTCTCCCACGGGGACTGCCATTACCAGTACAGGGCTCTCCCCTTTGGGTTGGCTTCAGCCCCTCGCACATTTACGAAGGTCCTAGCAGCACTGGCAGCTCATCTCTGCTCCATCCTGGTGCGACTCCAATGCTACCTGGACGATGTCTTAGTTCAGGCGAGGTCCCTTCCCCAGGCGGTCTCGGACCTTCGGCTTACCATCTGGAGTCTTCAGGCCCTGGGGTTTTTGGTAAACTTTCCCAAGAGCCATCTGTCTCCATCCACTCACATTCTTCACCTAGGGACAGTCATAGATTCCGGGTTGGGGGTGGTCCGTCTGTCCCAGGACCGCCAGACAAGTCTACAACAGTTGGCAGGAAAGGTTCACAGAAGTCAGTTAGTTTCACATCTCACATTGTCAGTTGTTAGGCAAGATGATTTCTTGTATAGGAATAGTCCCGTGGGCCAGGCTCCACCTCCGACCCCTTCAGTGGAAACTTATCCCTTTCCAGAGGGGAAGGATGAGTAACTCTCTTTGGACCCTCCCCCTCCCTGCAGGGGTCCGGGATTCCCTCAGGTGGTGGATCTCTCCGGCCATTCAACGGGACTGCTCCTTCTGGGAACCAGACAGGGTGACCGTGACCATGGACGCGAGCCTGTTCAGTTGGGGGGCTCTGGTGGGCTCTCGCTTGGCCCAGGGTAGGTGGACGGCTTCAGATCTCCGACACAATATAAATTGGTTAGAACTGAAGGCTGTGCGCCTAGCTCTGCAACACTTCCGGACCTCAGTGGAGGGCCGTCATGTGGTTCTCCTGATGGACAATGTGACTACCAAAGCCCACATAAATCGTCATGGGGGGACTCACTCTTGGTACTCTCTGGAGGCCCTGAGGTTCGGTGCCTGGGCGGAGAGGCACCTGTCATCTTTGGTGTTGGAACACATCTCCGGTCTATCCAACCATCAGGCGGATGGGCTGAGTCGGGTGACCCTATACAATGGCGAGTGGCAACTCCACCCATCCTTGTTTCAGGGGATCTGTCAGAGGTTTGGCACCCCTCTGGTGGACAAATGCGCAGCTGCCTCGATTTTTCACCCGGTTTCAGTCCCGGGCTGCGGAGGGCACAGACGCTCTCCGGACCAGGTGGCCTCCGGGCCTACTCTATGCCTTCCCTCCCATTCACCTCATTCCGGCAGACCCTCAGGAAGGTGGTAGTGGAGAGGGCCCTAGTCATCGTCGTGGCTCCTTATTGGCCCAGGAGGCCCTGGTTTGCGGATCTAGTCCAGCTGTCAGTGGCTCCTCCGTGGAGGATTCCGCAGGAGGAGGTGGTCTTGTGCCAGAGGGTCCTGATTCACCCGGAGCCCCAGTGGCTCCATCTGACCACCTGGCTCTTGAATGGCGGCTCCTGAGGAAGGCTCCTCCAGAGTCATATACACCATTGAGGCTTCTAGGTGCCCGTTGACGATTCGGATTTACAACTCCACCTGGGCTGCTTTCGTTAGGTGGTGCTCCCCTCTTGGTATTTCTCCGGCCAGGGCCACTATTCCCAATGCCTTGGACTTTCTGCAGAAAGGTCTGGACAATGGGCTGTCACACAACACACTATGCCGTCAGGTGGCAGCTCTGTCTTCGGTCTTGGGGAGTGTAGGGTCTTCCTCCCTCTCTCACGTTCCCCTGATCAAGCGATTTCTTAAGGGAGCAGCTAATCTCAGGCCTTCCCCTATCCATAGATTCCCTACATGGGATCTGCCCCTGGTTCTCAGGGCATTGCCGGGGGCCCCGTTCGAGCCTCTCCAGTCCATTCATCTGAGATTCTTATCCCTTAAGGTGGTCTTTCTGGTGGCAATTACCTCGGCCCGGCGTATTTCGGAGCTGGGCGCTCTTTCATCCAAGGATGACCTCTGCCATTTTCACCAAGATAGGGTGGTTCTTCACCTCGACCCTACCTTTCTCCCAAAGGTGAACACCCCTTTTCATAGGGCGCAGGAAGTCATCCTGCCCGATTTTTGCCCGGGTCCGTCTAGTGATAGGGAGAGGCTCTGGCACCGTTTGGACGTTCGTTGCGCTTTGTGCATTTATCTCCGACGGACTGCGGGGGTCCGCTGGTCGGAGGCCTTATTTGTCTCCTTTCAACCTAGGACGTTGGGGGCCAGGGTGTCTTCAGCTACCATTGGCCGTTGGCTGCGACAGGCCATCGTGCAGTCCTATCGGGCGGCGGGTTGTCCTGTCCAATCGGGAATAACAGCCCATTCCACTAGGAGTGCCGCGACTACGCGAGCATGGGCCACTAGGGCTCCTTTTGAGGACATTTGTCAGGCTGCCACTTGGGCATCCCCGACACCTTTCATCTGACATTATCGTCTGGATGCGTTCGCCTCGGCAGATGCATCTTTTGGTCAGAGGGTCCTGCAGAGGGTGGCAGCTGATACTCCCCTTGGGCCATAGTTCTTATTGTTTTCCCCTCCATGGGACTAAGCTTGGGTATGTCCCACACATGACCACTCCCTCTCTTCCACTGGAAAAAGAACGTTGGTCTTACCTGAACGTGTCTTTTCAGGGGAAGAGAGGGAGTGGTCATGACCCGCCCTGATTAAGTTGTTGGGGCCAAGGGGAGGGCCGGGTGGTTCCCAGGGTTTTGTTGTTGGGTTTTTTTTGTTTCAGTTCGGTGTTTCGCCTTCGAGGAAACTGGGCAGGAATGGAAAGCAGCAGTATTTAAGAAGTTTGCTCTCAGTCTTTGGACCAATCAGGCTTTGAGAATACCCACACGTGACCACTCCCTCTCTTCCCTTGAAAAGACACATTCAGGTAAGACCAAGGTTCTTTTTTGTTTAAAAGTTATCCTGCTCCTTATAAGGCTTGGCCCTTTCAATTTAAGTAAATCCTCTCCATACTTTTGGGGAGAGGAAAATGCTGCAGAGAAAGATATCCCAAAATATTGATATCAACAGAGCAAAAGAGCTGTTGAATCACACTTACAGATAGAAACACAAAGGAGAAAAGTGCTCAAGTTGGGATCTGGTTACATAATCCTAGGCAGCATGGTATCACGACATACTGTTCTAAGTTAAGATACCGCAAAGTGTTCACTCTTGTGCCTTTTAATGCCTTCCTTTCAGGAACATAAACATAAACAGCCTTTAAAAAAATGCTCCTTTTGGGACATCCAAAGTGCTATGATAGTGTCCTACTTTAAATATTTCCAGGTGCTCTGGATGATTTCGATGTATGCCATCTACCATACTTGCTGAAGTTTGGTGGTGAGTTTATTTAACTTGGTTTGGCAACTTGCTTTGCACATATATTGTATTTTAGCACATTTTACTGTATTTTTTCCTGGGTTTTTATGCCTTACAAGTTTACATATGAAATAGTATAAAAATCATGTCAGAATATTAATTGAATTTGAAAAATATAATTAAGAGGTGGTTTGGAATCAAAGTAATTTAATTCCGGACGTACCAGAGGAAAAATTATAGTCTGGAGAATATCCAAGCGTATGTACTGATGTCTCTATTATGAGTGGAATAAAAGTAAGATTTTAACATTTAAGTCTGAGCATGAATAAAACATAATGGATGAGTGTCTGCTATCAGAACAATCAGCTTGAGTCTGCTAGATATCGCTTTTTACTAAAACATGCAGATGCTGAAAGAATTTATGACACTAATTAAGTAATGTGTCTCGTGAACTATGCTACACCTCAAATCATGGAGACAAACATTATTACAATGAATGGTGGAAGTATATTAAGTTAAAGCCAACTGTGATAGCAATAATCACTGAGTGAGTTAAAAAGTAACAATAAGTAGGGCAACAAAAATCGTGGCACAACAAAACCGCGAAGCCCTTATCCGCGGAGACATAAGCGCATCGCTAAAGCCGCGACGTCATCATCGTGCGTCATCACCGCTGCGACAACAGCGCGGCAACAGAAGGGCACTTTAAAATGGCGCCACGGCAGAAAGCCGATTTCCATTAAGGTAAGGGTTAGGATTAGGTTTAGGGGTTTGTTTTAGGGGTTTGTTTTAGGGG